GTGGGAGAGGGAGAAGCAGGCTTCCTGCTGAGCAGGGACCTGATGCGGGGCTGGATCCCAGGACCCTGGGATCATGACCTGAGCCGAAGGCAGACGCTTAATGACTGAGCCACCCAGGCACCCCTAAAAAAATTTTTTAAATGATGTATAAGTGGAAAAAATGAATTTTTGCTTTCATGATCCAACTCAAATTTCCCCTTTAAAATTCTACACTGCTGGGGCGCCTGGGGTGACTCAGTTGGTGACGCAACCAACTCTGAAGTTCTGCTCAGATCATGATCCCAGGGTCCTCTCCCTCTGCTCCTACCCCCGCTCTTTCTCTCTCTAAAATAAATCTATAAAAAAATAAAATAAATAAAATTCTACAGTGCTTAGGCTAAAGGGTCCCAGCCAGCCTATGATCCACCACTCTGCACATGACCTTTGCCCCAGACATTTGAAGAGGGGCTGATGGTAAATGTCCCATACCTGAGGATATGCACAGCCTTTTTCACCCACTTCTTCTTTGGATCTGCACACACAGCCAATCTTTTCTTTGTGTAAAAGCTTAAAAAAAAATTTGATTTGTGCTTAGAGTTTTCAATTGCTATTTCACAGAACATGCAATGGAAATTTTGTATTCTAATGGACTGCTCTACCCACTAAGCATTTTATTTATTTCCATGGTGAAACAAAATACAAAAAAAGAATTGTTTCTGATAAATCTTAATGCAGGAAATGAAAGTGATTCTCTCCTACTTTCTCTGTATTTTAACAAATAGCTGTGCAATGACTGGAAAATAAGTCTCAGAATTATTATTTAATTTTGTTGTTGGTGGTTACACAAAATATATGTATATCCAACCAATTACCTATATCATTCTGAAGTATAATATCCTAGAAGGATCAAGATTATTACATGTGAAAGTATAATAACTCTGAGTTTTTACTTACAGCCCCAACCATTCTCTGGTAGAAGATGTTCATTTCAAAATTTATGTCTCCCATATTTTCCTGAGATGGCACGTTAGTAGCTTATAAGTTTATCTTAAAAAGTGATTTTGCACTCAACTTTGTTCTTTAAAAAAAAAAAACTAAACTTTTGCCTTATTCCAGTCCTATTTAAACTTTGGAATACATATGTACTATCAAAACAAACATATCTTTGCCCCATCAGTTATTTCTGAAACTCCAAATTTAAAAATTTTTTAAACTTGAAATTCCCGTGTACTCCTGACACAATCGAATGACAGTCAATGAATAACTTACATGACAGCATTGATGTCGCAAGCTTCATTGGCCAGCTGCTGTGTGAAGCCCGTGATAAATTTGGGATGAAGGACATGTTCTGTATATCGAAGACAGCAATCAAAGTTGCTTGCTGCTGAAAAGAAATTAAAGGTATTGAGTATACATGAATGAATTTATCCTGTAATAGGTATTATGGAACTACTCAAAGCTGTAGTTGTATATGGTAAAGAAACTATTTAGAGAAACAGTCCCAATGTCTTTGAGACCTGATTTAATGTAGTTTCCAGCTCTCTTAAAAAAAGAGGGGGAGAGCTTATGTGCTGAGAGATTTTGGTTCAATAATAGTTTAGAAGGCTGTGACTTCTAACAAAAGGAATATCTCTAGTGAGAAACACAAACTGACAGTGTTTTATTTAAGTTCATTATAATCACTCAAGAATATGACTATCTCTCACTTGAAGAAACTCTTGTAGATAAACTTTCAAAATCAGAAAATGAATAAATATGGAGATTTTAATCTATCACTTAGTACGGAGCATTGAGAGGAGGGGAATGATAAGAAGTTACAAAGGAAAATGCAATTTATAGGAGCTTCAAAAGCACTTTGAAATTGTGATATTAGTGGAAATATTTTGGTTGTAGAAGTTCAACACATGCATTTCCAGGAATGCACCTGTTGCTAAAAGTGATGTATTCTCACAGCCATAAAACAATACTCAGACACTCCCCCAGGCTAAATTATAACCTGCTGTAAGGTAAGTGATAAATGTTATCTCTAAGTTGGCAAGAAATGGCCCAAAGCCATGTAAGGATGGAGAGGTCAGATGCCATAATCTGCCCCTAAAGGATGAGTTTTGAAGTTTACTAAAACTATTTAGGTGGGAGGTGAAAAAGTTGGAAACGCGGGAGTGTTTCCTACGTTTCAGAATGACAACCCCATTCACTAGTAACATGACAACTTACATCACTCCCCAAAATAGCACTTTGGCCTTGTTGTGGAGCTTGGGGGGGTCTCTCAGAACCCAGCCACCCCAAATATCTGCTGGGATTGAGAGCAGAGGGAAAAAAAGCCTGATCAGCAGCAGTAACCGTTTGCTCCTCACTCACCAAAGAGCTGACAACTCCCATTACTTCTGAAGACTTTCCAACAGGCTCCCATTCTTTGGGGACCCCCAGGAGAGCTCAAGGCTTAGAGAATGAAAACAGTTCTTTCTCCTGTGTCAGCAGAAAAAGTGATACTTACCTTCTGACTTGCTGCAGAGGTGGAGGAACAACACTGACATCAAAGCAGCCAGGAGCAAACTCTTGCTCCTGCACATCATTTTCAGCTCAAAGAATAGATCTGCTCAGGGCTGGGTACCCAGTGCTTTGGGAGTGCTGCTAGGTTCTGATAGTAGACTGTGTCTGGGATGGCCCTACTTATAGCAAATATTGGGAATGTACACAGAAGGCGTGTTCTGACATGGGTTTTCCCCCATTGATCAACCTGCCCCATCATGTCGTCACAAAGAAAAACCACAGGGAAAACTTCCTGCCTTTCCCTAATGTTGGGAAGCTGTGAAGGTCAGGGTTGGG